CAGCATACAGCGTCGCTGTGGAATAGGCCTTTTGATGAAATAGTTTCAAAAAGATTAGAAAATATGTGCAGTAAGATTTCAGCCGTGCTGTTTTCACTACACAATTTTTCACAAGTTTTTCGAGCTTTCTTGTGGCGTAATCACATTTCTGACGAATTTCACTTGTTACCCCAAATGAATAAGTTACGAAAGAAGCACCATAATAAAGTGCAAATTCTATATTTAGAGCGACTTCGATTGGCCCAATTCAAGAGTTTCTGGCTTGTTTGGCGCTTTCTATCTGAGGCAGAATACCGCTTTCATGACTTGAAATCTTCGTCGAAGTTCCTACCGTAATCTTACAGTATTGAAATGGTTGCACGAGCGCGACCGTAACAACTTCACGTTATTTAGTAATGCAAAGAAGCCAGAAGAAGCAGTGATAACAACATCGCTAGTGACGAGGAAAACCAGAACGAGACAAGCTTCTCTGCTGGGCTTAGACCGAATTCATTTTTTGCACAAGGCACAGAGAATCATGGTTTATGTTCGGCGATATGTGAAAAGAGCAATCACTCACCTATCAGAGCTACGAAAAAGACAAATAAATGAAACATCCAAGCGCTCAACGATATCAATATTTATTACACAAATTTGCAGGAATAAAAATGCATGAAGCAAGAATCGCCATTATAATGGCCAATCAAAGGGAATTTGTGAGTGACGACCGCATCAAATCCCAAAAGATAGGGGAATATCGCAATGTTATGGTCGCGTCCAGAAGCCGACATCGCCAATACGGCAAAAAATCTTATTTTTATAGCACTAAACACATCATTAGCTTGTCTTATCATATTAGAAGCGCACGGCTATTACCACATAGAACTTGCTTACCAATGGCAGCAGTACGGGAAAAAATACTGGATAAGCTTCAGCGACAAACGCAAGTGGTCATGAGAAGGTGCGTGCCATGCCAATAAGTAAATAAACTGCCCTCACTTATCTCAAAACTAAAGCAGTATACCTTCTAACAGAGTGACAAGATCAAGACTTTTGAAACATATAGGACAGGATTACTTCCGACCATTGATAATCAAAAACATGCACGAAGCATGAAAACATAATATGGAATCAAATGGAACCGAAGAAATAAAGGAAAACCTTGAAAAGAAAGAAATAACGAAGAACGAAGAACAACGAGGGAACACAAAAAATATCGAAGGCTTATGGATGTATACTTAGCAGTCAGACGACACCCCTTATACGCTTGGAATCAATGGAGGATATGCCCACAGAAGCATTTATAAGTGCTCGACGATTTTTTGCACGTAGAGGGTACCTGAAACGATAGCCTGCGACAACGATGGAGTTGTAGATTTTATCGTCTGCTTTTTCCTTGATAAATACTGGTACTAAGCATTCAGCTGTTACTTATATTCCGATGTAAAATGTAAGACAACTTTCTAGTTCTATTGTAACTGTACATATTTATTAGGCTGGCTAAAAAATAAGTTCGGTCTTTTTTAGCGGTTTGTAGAATTGTCACAAATCAGTTTTTGTGTGTATACATGGGCATTGGAAAGAGCAAATCAAGGAGAATAGGATGCTTAACTCTGTTTTTTTCTCAATTTTTCTGATAATGAAATGGTGTGTGAAAGAAAATTGGTCAAATTTTTCCCGAAAATACCGAAAAATCAAGCTCCGAAGTCACATGAAGTCAAATGTAAAGTGTAGATTCGCTACCCACACAACAAATTTTTGAATTTCCGACCATTTGCTGGCCATGGATGGCCAAATTCGAGTTATCTGGAATGCCCAAAATTTAAGGTTCACGCGCAAATGGCTGGAAATTTTCGCAATTTTGACTGCAGAAATGCAAAAAGAGCAGGTCACAATCTCGATTGTGGTTCACCACGTAGCCCAGAGGCTGTGTGTATCCAGCCATCAAATTACTCGCCTGTGTACTCACTGCAGGCTGAGAACGAAAGCAACAAAGTCAAAAACCCGATTTTTCAGAAGTCCGACCATATAAGGTTATAACTGTCATTTTTTGAAAATAGAAAATCTTGACTATTTGACACATTGACGACCAAGGCGTTTCACGGGCCGGTCAACATTTTTCAGATAAAACCACGCGCAATTTCATCTACAGTGACTCTGAAATGCTGACAAGAACAGTAAAGGTTGTGTCTAGATCCAGCACAAAAGAAAACTCCCAGCGTGGGTAATACAAAAGTAGCCATTTCAACGATACACATGGTGTGTCAAGCCTTGACCATTGTGTGTCAAGCGGTCGTCATTGTGTTAATATTCATGAGTAGAGCTTGAGGATATCTTCTCATGAAAAAATCTTAGCTGAATAGCTGTTACGTGAATTGTTATGAAGCTTTGAACTTGCATGTCAAAACGAACTCTATTCATTAGCCAACTCAATATATAGTTTGAACCTATTTTTGTGTAGACGTTTAAGAATATTTGAAAGAATTATGTTTCCATCGTAAGCATTAGAGGTGAGTATGTTCGTAACCGCAAAATTTTTTGAACAAAATCTCTAAAATAGGTGCAAGTACATGCAATTTTCAAAGTTTTTGTGTAAAGTATTGCTTTTTCTTGACATGAAACACATGAAGTCATGTGTATATAACTTTTCTTGGAAATGAAAGCTACCCGTTTTGTTATACATTTTGATTATTACTCTGCTATTAAGAACTATAATGTTTGAGTCTAGTTAATTACAATTGAATTTATCTTCGTGAGCAGTTTCCTGACTTAGTTTGTTTTCGTAAACGTTTCTGACTGCATAGTAAATTTCAGTTTCTCTGCTGTTACGTATAATCAATGATTCATACATATAATGCAAATGCAAAAAAGTGATTGTTTTTATAGACTCTATGAATTAAGCATCTATATTCATTGTGCTTTGCCAATAAAGGGCTAAAATCACCTTCTTGTTGTACACCATCTTTTTGTTTTAGGATGTATGTTTTAAGTCTAGCTATAGTCAAGAATATAATCTATGTGATATAATAAATTGAAGATAGTGTATTAATCTTCCTTTCTAGTGTATTATTTCTTTTTCCCTCTTTCCGTCTTTGTTTTCACGTATAACGCATTTTTGATGGCCAGTGCCATTGCTTGCCATATTGTACGAATTCCAGCATGAGGGAGGTAGTGCCATATTACTGCGGAATCTTAGAACGTCTGCTGCACTGCCTTGATTTAAGCTTGTCTTTCAAGTTTGGGAGTTTCGTAATGCACGGAATTTTAGCAAGAAGAAGAGGAAGAGTTTGCTATTTTTATTACCATAATTTGAACATTTGAAGTAATATTTATATCTGAATTTTAAGTAGAGTATGTACACTGAAAGCTGCGCCAATATACCACCTGCTCCGAAGAAAAAGTTGTGCAAACCTTTCATTCAGACAGACACGATTCCAGTTTTGCATATCTCGCTCCTATCACCTTTGCGTTTGTACACCACATCTGGTGTCATATCGTAGCTTGCCCTCTGTGATTCTTGTCTGTCCAAATAAAGAGATATTGTTGGTACAAGTCTTTTTTTCTCATTCGCAAAAGATCACATTCTTTCATTTGTTCATTTCTGTTAGATTGAGTCACACACTAGATTTGATGGCATCATCGCCTGTGTACAATAGGTCGTATGGCCTTTTTATACTAGCGGTTCGTCCGCTCCAAATATTAGCATGGTCTGTCATAAGTGACTGAGATTGCTCAGATTTATCCACATGTTCAATGTAATCAACATAGTCCGTTTGCTTTTGTCTTCAAAAACGATTTCTTCAACATTTGCTGTCCTTATGCGCGGCCGTTTAGATGCTTACCCTGACTTTGCTTTATTCTGACAGTAATACGTTGCAAACAGAAAGCTATCGGTTCACTTATAGCAGCAGGTTAAATAGCGGTTCAGCTTGCTTGTATGGCTCACGGTTATTGCAAAACATGCCTGTCTAAGGTAGAACCTCTCAAATTCTATGTAATCTAAGCGACGTTTAAAAAGAGTCTTCTGTAAACAATGTTTCCTCATTCAAATGTTGATGGGTGCAATACAAAAACACAAAGTCTTCAAGTGGCGCCAATGCTTTTTGAAATGTGAATCTTGTCTTTCAGCTGTCCTTGGCATTGGACACCTTCCTTACTTCAATATTTCCATGCAACCCCAAAGGCCAAACTTTGGATAAAAAACAAATTATTCGACCATCTACATTGTGATACATTTCGACCTCTTTGTACAAATCTGGAAACTACTGGGACTCCAGTTATCATACATTCGATTGATCAAAGCAGCAGTCCTACCGAATTTAATCGCCATCTAAGTGATGATCTAGTTGTGCACTTGGTTTGAATGGCTGTTTTGCATTTCACTTCCTATACCCTAAAAATCATCAACTGCATTTGCTGTTGCTTCCTACAAGAAGAGACCCATGGAACTGTATGGCTTGTATACATGCTAATTTTTGCTCTGATTCATGGAGAAAAGAGGCAATGGTTTAATAATTACAAGAAAGCACACGAGCATGACCTACGTAAAGTGTGATTAACATTTTGACTTACCTGTGATTTTTTGTTTCACAACTCGCAAATAAGAGAATTCAAAAACGATTTATGCAACAATCAGAAAGCCACACTGTTAGCATAGTAGTCATATATTGCACTTTAGGAGCCAAGTTCCAGGTAGTGACGTGCATAGTATGCTACAGAAAAAATGTCAAGCTACAGGCCAACCGAAACAGTGGAATAGTAATATGATAGAATTTCAGATATTTGTCTAATAGCGTGAGATAGTGACGGATACAAAAAAAGCAAAGGTTTATAGTTTTTTGATTTTAAAATAAGTTAGCATATTTATAAACAGCTTCAGCACTTTTGTATCTCTGAACAACTGAATAATTATATCACTATAGCGATATTGATATTTGGTTTATGGCAAAACACGAATGAGTTTATATAATTTTTATGCTTTTGTCATTTTCAAGTTACGATTGGCGTAATTGAAGATTGCTTCAAGCTCCAGTCAGTAATCCTACCACACCGCCTACGAGACTTCCTATTAGAGCGCCGGTCAGTGGATCTGAGATATTTTTAAAGTCAGGAAGCACTCATAAATACGGTTAAAAACTTACCTATGCCACCCATTCCCAGTCCTCCGCCCATCATCGGATTGATCATGTAAGGATCATAAGGTGGGGGGAAAAGCTGAGAATGTACATTAGTGAACGTAAGGAAAACCAGCACCAATAGCACTTTGAAAGTATTCATTTTTATGCTGAAGTCCTGTCAAATCCTGAAAGGAAACCATTCTGAATTCAACACATTGACGACTGCTTGACACACATGGTGTGTGTCAAGCAGTCGTCAATGCAAGCAATGACTACCGCGTGAACCGCTTGACACACCATGTGTGTCAAGGCTTGAATTTTGGTAAATTGACTACTATCCTGAAATAAACTCACTTCATGAGCTTTCTTTTGCACAGAACCTAAGGATGACCTCTACCTTACTTGTTAGCCTTTCAGATCTACTGTAGGTGTACTGTAGATAGCAGTATGCGTAATTACAGTCGAAAAAGTGGGCTGGTCTGTAAAAAGGTCTAGGTCCCAAAAGGCAGATAACTAAAAATTTGCATGGTCGTCAATGTGTTAAGGTAATAATATCCATGCTTATGTGGTGGCTCAATCTAAATAAATATTAAGACTGAAAAGCCGCTATGTTTTCTTTAGAAGGAAAACGCACGGGGAAAACTTGTAAATTGATTGTCGTAAAGCATCTTTCGACGGAACAAAAGCTAAAAAATGACTTCATCTCAATATTTAAGCGACTGATGACAAGCCAGTAACTGTGCGGAAAAAATTGCATTAGCAGCACCATTCTATTCTAACCAAGCGTGCTTTTCCTCACTTATAAACTATGCACATAACTGATAGCTGTCAGCTAAAAACTGATGTAAATGATGGCGCTCAGCGCTAAAGCGATGAAACATGTATTGAAAAGGAAAATGTTACGAATAATGGCACCTTTTAATAACGATTTCAATGCTTTCTTGTTTTTATTAGACCGCGGCTTCCACGCAGTTCAGCATTGTGGTTTGTGATTACACGAACACCTCCTATCAAAACTCTTGAAAATCTCTCGAAGAACCACTAAAGTAATGCAATAAAGCTACAGCCGCAAACTTCTTTCAGAACTAAACATCCAACGCTAGTCTCAATAGTAAGCTTTATCGGACGTAGGTTTAGGCCATCATGTTGGCCACCATGTTTGGAGATATCTCAAACTGTGTCCATTATTACCTTTTCATGTACTCACACTAAGTTTGTCAAATCTTCTGTGAGTCCATATAAATTTCTTTTTCATATAGAATATGCTTTCTTTATTTGAACTTCGGAACTACACGAGTGCGAGGGTCCAAAAGTATCTTCTATTTCATGCATTTTTGCGTTTACATATAGAACTCGGCACATTCTAGCGCTTTTGCGTAAGAGTTTTCAGCTAAAGACGTTTAAATTTCTAGGCTTTCCATAAACTCAGCCTTCAAAGTTGAGGTTTTTCGTGCAATTAGAGACGACTATGATTGCTCCTAGAGAATAAAGCTTGCAGAGCGGCTGAAACATTTTGTAGTGTAGACTCTCTCAAAGGTAACACATAAACTTATCATCGCACACAGTACGCTTAGCTCGTCACAAGGATCTGCAATCATTATAAGCGTGTTGAGTTACGGCTAGACTCTACCCACTAATTTCACGATAGGTAACATAAATTGCTGTGGAAGATTTTCAAAACTTTCTAATTTTTTATGAAAGGTAGAATTTATATTCCGCTCACTTTTTTTGAGGGGAAATTGATTCTAATTCCACGTTACGTTAATTGCGTGCGTTTGTCTTTCCTACCAATCTTCGGGAATCAGTTGTGTGCACTACAAAGATCTGGCCTCAATATTGCAAGTAAAACTTTCATAGTTGCATGCGCCGGTAAATTTTTAGCTTTTGTTGAGTTGAACTTCTATGACAGACGGTGTGCTGGATGTTATGAAAATGAATTGTCGGAAGGACTAAAATGCCGCTTTGCTGACAATCTATGGTTATGCGCCAGTTGCCCTAAGGCTCCTTATCTAGCGGCTCTATCTCTACCATACCTTCGATACATAGAGCCACATACTCTGGTGACCTTCACTTTGAGCGTCATGAGGCTCCCGCCAGAGTGCCGAAGTTATGCCAGCGCTACGCCAGCATTTCGATCGATACACATGTATCTCGTTGGGGACGTCAGCTAGCCCCGCCCAACGAAATACACGTGTATCGATCAAAATGCTGGCGTAGCGCTGGCATAACTTCGGCACTCTGGCGGGAGCCTGATAGAAAACAACCTTCACCTAGAGGGAAGTCATCCGGGGCGAAGCCCCGGACATCATGGCATAACTAATGACATATCCATATAGGGAGAGATGTGAATGAGGTAAATATAGTAGTGACATCCAAAAGAAGCTCAAAAAACCGAAGGATTACGTTTTTATGGTCCTTTTTTGCCAAAAACACTTATTCAAAAATTTAAAGAGGAACTGGAGCAAAATTTCTCAATTAATCTTTCTCTAGACTTCGACTGAGCGTTGGAAGTTCATGAAAGCCGCTGGAGTTCAATAGAAACGAGAAACCGCGCTCAAATCTTGCGCAGAGAGTCGCTACTCAAATGCTGGTCTATCTCGTTATGGAGTGATGTTCAAGACCCGCGACGTTGTCGGTGCTCCTGGACGTCTCATGAGGATCACAACGATATATAATGTTACAGGGTTTCGTTATGATCCCGCGGAGATCAATGACCAGAGCCAAATGCCCCGCCGGCTCTGGTCTGTCTCCGCTGCTCGTCTGCGTCTCCGCGACATGCGCGCTACCTCGCTACCCCAAAAGCGGGGCGCGGGGCATTTGGCTCTGGTACCCTTTTCTTCGTTGTTGGGAGCCCAATTTCGACAATCTATATATCATATTAAAGCTCTTGATCTCTATTTTTACGCTGACAACGTCGCAAGACTCCTTTTTATGATTTAAACGAGAAATATAGGAAAAACGGAGTTTTCGAAAACCTCTTGTTTTTTCTTCAGTTCAACTCTTTTCACTCGGTTTTTTTGTGTATTCGATAGGTCTTGTTTCTGTCTATGATGTAGACAACGTCGCCGCGCTTACTTCTTTGCTTACGCCTGTTTTTTTTTGTGAAAATTACCAAAAAGTGCGTTTTTCTTTACCTTGTTCTTTTTCAATGCTTTTGCAACGAATTTTCTCCAGCTTGGACGTTACTTGCTTAGAATGATGAGCGGAAGAATCCAGACAACGTCGCGGGATACGAAACGACCATGCGGGGGTGAAAATTCAAAGGACGCGCCAAAAATCAGATTGGCGTCGATGTGCAGCATAACTTTTCAGACATGTTTAACATGTTCAATTCAGTTGTTGACAAGTTTGCCTTCTTTCGGTCTCTCAACTACCGCCACAGCTAACGCTTTTTCTTTCAATTAGAAAAGAACTTTGTTCCTGTTGCCACCCAATTCAACCGGCAATTCTGAAGACAAAAATGTGCGTAGGAAACCACCACGATAAGGTTTTAAATTTGGTGATGTGTTAGCCTCTGTTTTATATGAATTTTTCAAGTTTTCTGGTTCCATTCAGATCTCTAAATTTCCATCTATTTTTTCTAAAACAACCTTCACTTTTTATAGGGGACAGGAACTCAAACAACTATCACTTTCTAGGCTCTGTCTCTTGACTATCGAAGGTATGATCTCTACTACATAAGACCTAATAGTAATTGTTATAAAGAGGAGAAACCAAAGCATTTTCGCTTTTGATCAAATTCATATGTCTGTGTTGCATCAAAGTTCAAGTGAAGTAACTAAAGTCTGTATTACTTCTTAAGGATAAGCTGCGCTTAGTGCTGACAGTAGCATTGACCACTGTTCTATAGATAGTATGAAGAAAGCGCGATCCGCGCATTTTTTTGCAAAAACCTGTTCAAAGACGAATGCATTTGGAACGATATCCTCTTGATACGTCGCAGTGCGACATATCAAGAGGATATCGTTTACTATCTTACTCTTGATTATAAAAAGCTACTGCTCCACATAACCACAATCCTACGCTCTTATCCTAGACACTGGCATGGTTTATTCAAAAAACGCTGTCTTGAATAGGAGTATACTGCTACATCATTCTTATTTTTGACTACCTGACAGTCCGCTGGCCTTGAGAGTGAAACGGGCTTCACTGACCTGCTTACATAATCATGGAAAAATGCTTGGCTAGGGCATGCTTATCTTACTATATGAAATCAAATCAATAATCAACAAGAAACTAATACGGCTTTGCGAAACGGCACACAAAGTAAGCTACGTTCTTCTCCAAGAGTCGAAAATATTATACTTTGTGCAAAGTTCCTCATCACTTGAGCGGCGCGCGCTCTTAAAGTGCTGGACAAAATTATGGGTTTACTCTAAAAATGCCATAACTCACTCTGTTGTCAATCGATTTTTCTAAATTTCGTACAGCCCTGTGTTTATCGGCCTATTATCGGTTATAAAAACGGGTCTTGCTTTCGTTTGCTTATTCAAGAAAAATCAAAAATTCAAAAAATGCATCTTGAAGGCTGATCAAAATTACATTGAGTTCTCCCAAAAGTAAACTCCATTTCCAAATAAAATGAGCTATTTTTGTTTTCATAACAGACTTAAAATACCATTTAATAGAGCGGAGCAAGATCCATGAAATGATCACCAAAGATCTATTTAATTCGTAATCCAGGTCAAATTTGAAGCAAAAAATCAAAACTTATAGTTACCCTAAAAACTGGATCTGATCTCCTTCCAGAAATTTCCTACGGGATACCAACTTGGTCGTTGTATAGTAGACACATAGAATCAAAAAACACATTGTGGGTTTTTTCAGGGACTCAAAGTTGAGAAACAAGGATGGTCCGAAAATGCCAAAATGCCACTTTTTTTCGTGTTTTCATATAAACTTCATATTTCTCGAATAAGATTACACAGAGGGATAAAGTCGATTACATAGAGGGATAAGTTGTTGAATACAAAGACATATGTGAAAGCGACTGAAGCCATTTTTGGACTATCTTTTTAGCTCGCTTTTTGTGCCCTGAGAAAATCTAGTGAAGGCATATCTAGGTACAATATTTTCAGGTGTATAAGCCGCGGGGTGTTCCTAGCTTACATCGACCAGCCCGAACACATCAAAGGACCTCGCAACCAAAGGACCCTATACCGTGCTGCGTATTGCTTGAAAAACACGTGTGGCATAAGGATCGCTTCTCAAAAGCAATGAGACGGCTGAGCAGCTAGATTGAAAATTTGAAAAAGTGCAGCTTATACACCTGAAAATAGCGTACTACTATGTGATTACTGTATAATGACCATATTGTAGGTCCGTAGGAATTTTTCTTGCAGAATCAATTCTTAAGTAAGAAAACTTTTCCAATTTGGCTTCAAACTTTAATGCGACTCAGGCAAACCCTTGGTCATTTTGTGGACCTTGATCTTCTCCATCGTAAAGATACCTTAGTTTATTAAGAAAAGAAGGATAGTTTGGATTTTTTGGAAAGGAAGTTTACTTTTGGGACGCCTAATAGGACCACCTGGACTTCTTACTCATTGAAGCATTTCCTAGCTTTCGAGTTTATTAGG